ACCCACGCCAAATTAGCCCAAATACCCGTCCAGCCCAAATTGTACCCAGTCCAAACCCCATACCTCTGAGATCAATGAAACGACGTAGTATAAAAAGAATACTACGTCGTTTTGAGTTAGTAGGTAATGATTCAATCTTGGCCCTCCATTTTATCTCATCCAAGGGCCTCAATCCCTTCCCTATTTAATCAAAAGTGTCCGAATAGATCCCTTAACCTAAGACCATGTCGTCCCCTTCATCCTCATCTCTCACCGCTGCCGCCGCCACCGGAAATCGTCATGCGGCGGTGTTTGGTCTCCAAACCCTACTAAAATCGCACCACAAACTCCTCTCAACCCCGTCATCTCAAGCCTTCACTTCATTCACTTCAAGCCCCCCTAAAACCGTTCAAATCCCAAACTCAAAAGGGCGGAACCCTAGCGCCGCCCACTTTTTCCGATGGCGGCGCCGTCGCCAATCGACCTTAAACTAACACCCTTGAATCCTTCTGTCCTCCTCATTCCAAAACTCCAGTCCATCCCTCTCGAATCCTTATGGAATTTCTCAAATATTAAATCTAGGGTTCGAGTTTTCGAAGCCAAGGCCAAATCCATTCATACGGGGTCCTTTCCCAGTATTCATTCCTCATGTCTTAATAGTGATGTTCAAGTCAAGATGGTGAGTTTTCTTTCCTTTATTTTATTTCTTCTTCTGTTTAACCTTCTCTCTTCTTTTCTTTTTTTTCTCTCTATTCGAATAAGTCAAGCTTCTGCCCGTCTCCTTTGTTTCTTTAGTTTGATTTTCCAAGTTAAATGTGTTCGAATTATAGCTGTTGTTTGTTTTTGTTAAAAATTGTTATTCAGTCGAATTGTAGTCAAGGCATGAATATTGTGTTAGTTTTCTGTTGATTTTTAGAATTGACAATAGTATTTATTGATTTCGATTTTTAGTTAGTTCAAGTCCTAATTAGAGTTATTTAGATCCATTAATTCAGATATTAGGATTGTTTGGTTATAGCTGATAATTCTAACCAGGGTAAAAAGGGGTTAGGGTTTAGTTAGTACTAGGTTAGTAAACTTCAGATTTAATAAAGGGTAGTATATGCATTCCTAAATAGAGAACAATGCTGTAGTTGAGACTGGAACCCCCTAGACTCTTCTAGAAGAGGGTTTTAGTTGATATATCAGCAACTTAATGCAGTAACTTGGGCAGCAAGCCAACAAATAAGGGACTAATTAGCTAAAACTGAAAAATAAAAGAGGGACTTAGGGGGCAAAGTGAAATCTGAAGACTGCCTTAAGTTTTGCCTATAAAAAGGCATGCCCATTGCCTTATTGAACAAGTTTAAAAATCTGAAAAAATCCCCAAAAATTTTTAAAAGTTTTGGAAATCTGAAAAAATCCCCATAAGGTCTAGAAGTTTTAGAGATCCCAAAAATTTGAAAATCCAAACTCTGAAAAATTCAAAAAAAAAGAGTTTCAGATCCAAAACTACTGAAAAATCTACTAAAAAATCCCAAAAACTCTGATAGAAAGCAGATAGTTTAGATACAAATCAAATCCTAGAAGCCAAATCCTGAAAATCAATACAAAAATGATATAGAACTTCTCCAGATCTGCTGATTTTCAACTGTAGTAGTTCATCCAGGCCTGCTTTTCAACTTCAGTTGGTTTATTTGGTTATTTGAAGTCATTTCGAAGCGTGTTACATCTGTCCTTACTCCCTGGGTTTTGAGCTGGAACTGCTGTGTTTTTCTGCTGAATTTACACCTGTTTGTGTTGCTGTGTACTGCTACTCCTTAGCTGACATTCAGTTTTGTTCTCATTTTGTTCAAATTTCAGGTACACTTCATGTCATTCTCAAGTTTGGAAGTACATGAAATTGCTGCCTGTTTTTCCTTATTGATCTTCACTGTTGTACTTCTAGAATTTTCATATTTTCAATAGATCTACATTTGAAATTGAGAACTGGACTGTTTGGGACTGTCTAAGACTTTTAAACTAATTTTGTTTCCTTCTCCTCATCACATGAGCGTCACATTTAGAAGTTAGATTCAAATTGTCATAATAGGATTTCAGATTCATGATTAATTCACTTCCAGGTTCCTGTTTGCTTGTATGTAAGGTATGAGTCTGTTGAAAGCTATGATTCAAATAATGAATCAATAGTTCATTAAGGCTCTAGCTACCGGTTTCTATTTTTATCAATGGCTGTAATCAACTCGTCGACTAATTACTGTAGCTCATGATTCGTAATGCCATTGCAATTTACAAACAGTCTATGTGTTCTCTCATAGCTTGTAATTCAAACGCTAGAATCAATTCAATTTCATACAGTTATGTACTGATCAGGATGCTAGCTAATATGATGTGATTGACATTTTAACTTCAAATGCTCTGCCGATTAATTCTGCTACCAATAGTACAACTTGCCTAGCTATGACCAATTTGAACCAATGATGCATACCAACAATTAAATTTGGTTGCTCCAGTTAATTTGTGTAATAACAACTAATTCCTAATTCAAGCCCATCTACTAACTCTCACGTCCATATCATTTGCCATTGCAATGTGGGCTTAGGATAGTTTGATTCTGAAAATTGCACCAAGGGAAGCCCAACTTCACTGTTGTTATTTCATGGGCACATTCCTTGGGCCAGGCTTCAATTGGAGCCCACCTGGTTTCTTCAAGTCACCTCCAAGGCTGGACAACCCCTTGAGTAATTGAGATCTGGGCCTTTTTGTAACGCAATTTTAGGCCTTCCAAGTTAGGTAGCGAATTTAAATTAAGAGGTTCTCCTCTTGTTTATGCTCGGACTTGAACTTGAGGCCCGAATTTTATAGTGTTAATTAATTAGACCTTTTTAGAGGCAAACCTTAATAGAAAATCGTAGTTCTTTTAGGATGGCCTTTAAAAATAGAACGAGGTGCGCCGCGCCAAATGAAATCACAAACTGCGTGGCCCTCTTTAATACTCATAAAAAATATTTAGATCTCGGGGCGTGCTATTTAGCGAATTTCCATGGCCTCCCGCAAAGTTAATAATACGTTAGTCGCTTTAGGCGCGTTCTTTAATAATTTTACCTTCCTAAACTCGGGTGTGCATTTCATGTGACCCAAATTCAAGTCCCAAAATGTTGAATAAAATGTGTCGAGGATCCGGGTGCATTTCATGTGACGTGATCCGAAAATATATTTTAAACGACGTTCAATTTCCTAAAATTAATTAAAAGCGATAAATAATTTTAAAAATTGCACTATAGGATGACATGTATTGAAATCAGATTTTTAGCCAATTATAATAGTTTAAGCGACCGTGCTAGAACCACGGGATCTGGGGGTGCCTAACACCTTCCCTCGGGTCAACAGAATTCCTTATTCAGAATTTCTGGTTCGCAGACTCCATTCGGGAAGTCGAAATTTTCCTCGATTTGGGATTCAAGATAAACCGGTGACTTGGGACACCAAAAGCCAAACATATCCCAAGTGGCGACTCTGAAATAAATAAATAATCCCATTTCGAAATAATGTCACTTTAAATGAAAAAACTCCCTTATACATTATCCGTCGAGGTATGTGTGTAAAAAAGGAGGTATGACAAATGTTACTCCTAATATAAACAAGAAGCATCGAATAAATATTAAGCCTCCATATTCTATGTGATTATTTATCATATTTATATGGCACTTGTACTAAAACTTTATATCACGAGATTCTATCAGTTTCAGGCAAGGCAAGTATTGTAATGATATCTAGAGCAAGTCATGCATGTTCTAACATGTTATAAAATTTAAATTGTAGCCCAAAAATTTAAGAAGATGATACCGATTGAAGTAAATAATCCTAGTTGGTTGAGACTTGTGTTGATAACGTATTAAGAAATGAGAGCAAAATAGAACAATATAGTAATAGAGACAATATGTATAGGAGGAGAATGTAGAAGCTATCTTATTGTGTGTACTTCATAGGATAAAGAATACCCTATTTATAGGATATAAGATACATGATGCTTGCTGCACAGTGTTATACAAAATCATCTCCAAAGTCCTTGCATCAAGACTCCAAAAAGTCATTGCATCAATTGTGTGTGAGGTGCAGACAGAATTCATTCCAGGTAGGAAGATTTCTGATAATATATTTCTTGCTCAAGAGTTGGTGAAAGCCTATACAAGAAAAAATGTATCTCCTAGGTGCATGATTAAAATAAACCTCCAAAAGGCCTATGATTCTGTGGAATGGGTGTATCTGGAACAAGTCCTAGATGAGCTAAGTTTCCCTAGAAAGTTTACTGGATGGATCATGGAGCGTGTGAAAACTGTCAATTACTCTATTATGGTGAATGGAGAACCTACAGCTCCTTTCAATGCAGCTAAGGGACTCTGGCAGGGTGATCCAATCTCCTCATTCCTATTTGCAATTTCCATGGAATACCTCAGTAGGAACCTCAATGCTGTGAAAGAAAGCCAAGAATTCAAGTACCACCCAAAGTGTTCTAAACTATATTTGACTCACTTGTCTTTTGCAGATGATTTATTAGTATTCTCTAGAGGTGATGTTAAATCAGTACCTACCCTTCATAGATGTTTTAAAGACTTCTCAGATGCATCCGATCTCCAAGCCAACAAAGAGAAAAGCTCCATTTATTTTGGAGGGGTGACTCAAGAGGTGCAGGAACAAATCCTAAGGTTTTTAGGATTCCCTAAAGGAGAACTCCCCTTCAGATATCTGGGAATTCCTTTAGCTACAAAAAAGATCTCCTTAATCCAGTGGCAACTATTAATTACCAAGATGGTGGCTAAAATCACCTCTTGGACTGCCAAGAAGCTGTCATATGCAGGTCGAGCTCAGCTAATCAAACTGTCCTCTTTGGTATTCAAGCTTACTGGGCACAACTGTTTGTTATCCCCTCAAAAGTGTTAAATACAATTGAAGCCTACTGTCGAAGCTACTTGTGGTCGGGCACAAATACAATCACTAGGAAGGCTTTAATTGCTTGGGAAAAGGTCTGTACTCCAAAGTCAATGGGTGGTCTAGGCTTGATGAACATGGGACTATGGAATAAAGCTGCAATAAGTAAAGCTAGTTGGGATATAGAACACAAAAGTGACAGGCTATGGATTAGATGGCTACATGCATACTATATCAAGAATCAACAATTTGATCAAATGGCTATCCCTCAACAAGCTGGATGGATGGTAAAGAAATTGTTTGAGGCAAGAAGCTCATTGCCACTGATACAAGTCAACATTGCAAGGAGTGTAATCAAGCAGATCTATTATCAACTTCTGGGAAACAATGCAAAAATTTCATGGAAAACATTGAGGTTTGGTAATAATGCTCGACCAAAAGCACAATTCATAGTATGGTTACAAATGCAGGGCAGGCTCCTAACTGTGGATAGAATTGTTTCCTGGGGTGTAAGTGTGGATCATGACTGCAAACTGTGCAATAGTCAAAGTGAAACAAGAGACCATCTCTTCAAGGAATGTCCTTATTCTATCAAAGTCTGGGAGGAGGTACTAAAATGGATGCAGGTTCCAAGTTTCAGAACAACACAATGGGAACTACTGGAAAAGTGGATCGTCCAAAGAGCAAAGGGTAAATCGCAGAAAGCCGAGGTATTCAAGATGGCCTATACAGAATGGGTGCATGCAATATGGATTGAAAGAAATCAACGCAGATTCGAAATGAGATCAAGGAAGGCAGAACAATTAGTGAAGGAAATAGCATACGTGTGTAATGTCCGAGCTCCTGCTAGAATTAAAGAAATAGTTCAACAGTTTTGTATTTAGTTAGCCTAGTAGAAAATAGTTTCTTTTCAGTCCTATAGATAGATAGCAGACTGGGTTGTAGTCGTGCTATGGCTCTTTACTTGTAAATATTCTGGTGATTAATAAAAATTTAGTTACCAAAAAAAAGATACATGAAAGGTTACAAGAATCCACCTAAAGGTTACAAACATTAAGTGATGAATTAACTAAGTACATGAACTCAAATGGTTCATGGAATAGGGATGTCTAGGAGTATTTAATGGACATCCACTCTAACATATTCATAACATTTATTATTTATTTTCACAGCGATCCGGCAACACATATAAAAGTATATAATATCTTTATGTGTGTATGTACATTATAAATTTGCATGTAATATACTCAAACCAAGTCTGCGTTTATTGCACTAAAGAACTACTCCCTCCGATCCCAAATATTGGTCGATTTGGCAAATTGAGTTTGTTCCACAATATTTAAAGTTAGTTTAAAGAAATAAGAAGTCATTTCTTACTTATTTTTTTCAAGTGTGTCCTTACTGTCCTAATTAGTGAAATATTAATCAAGTTAGATTTTCAAGAAGTTATAAAGAATAGTTTAACTAAATATTCTTATAACTAAAATTGTTAAATGTCTTTCTTAAAGGTCGTGCAAAATCAGAAGACGTTAATATGGACCACATGTAGTAGTATATTGATTAACTAAAATTCTTCGTATATAATCAAGCCTCATGCATGAGGATTGCGAGGTAATTTTGCTTTAAAAGTAGCTTTTTTTTTTTTCAGACGTGGGCCTAGGATTTAATGTTTACGAGCTTGGAATTTTAATCCTTTTAAGTTATTTTGTTATAAATTAATAAATTATACATTTCTTAAAACCTATATGGGTTTGACTAGAGCTAATAGGTTGAGCCGAACTCATAACTTTCTGGCTGTCTAAAAGGAAAAAAAAGGAAAAAAAATGATAAGCTCATTATCTTTTAAATTCTTTTTTTGGATTTTCTCTTTGCTCTATTCATTGTTCATCTTACTTTGAGAATTTTTGACTAGGACGTTAGGACATTATAGTCATGCCAAACTAAAGATTTTACAGAGACAGACTTTTGTACTGGCCAAACACGGAACACCTCAGCTAACTTAGTGTACGGGAATGAGAAATTGTTTCAAAAGAAACACTCTTTTTTTTAACCCTACAAGAAGGGAAAAGGAAAGGAGCCTAACCTTGTTTGCCTAATTAAAGAAATTAATTAACCATAAACACAAGGCTGAAGCATGTGAACTTTATGATGATTCATATGCTAAAACTTGTCATTCACCTAACTAAACCTGCAAAACAGAAGGCAACTTCTATCATCAAAAACCCTTTTTGTTTCAAAAATTCGAAATACACTGACTTAATTAATAGCCCGTTTGGCTTAGAAAAATTTGCTTATTTTGAGAAGTGTTTTTTTCAGGAGTGCTTTTCGAAAAAGTATTTTTGGAGAGAAACAGATTGTGTTTAGCTAATCAATCTGAAAAGCATTTTTGAGCAATAATTTGTGTTTGACTTTTCAAAAATGCTTTTAAGTATCAAATTACGAATAAGGGCATGAAGAGATTTACTTAATAGTTAATATTTTATGTATAAATAAATAATCTCAAGTATTTATTATTAAAGATAATAATTATGTTTTTTTATTTTATTTAAGTAAAACATAAAAATAAAATTTAAAAGTACTTTAATTCTTTCAAGTTGATTTAAATATATCAAAAAAAATTATTTAACAAATATAAAAGCATTCATCTAAAAGTCACCATATATTAGAAAGCTATCCTAAAAATAAAAAGAAATATTTATACATTGGGAAAGTTCAATAATATAATCTCTAATTCTAAGTATTAGGTTTAAAATAAGTAAGGCTATTTTGATATATAGTAACATATTTTGCTAGGGGTACTTTTGGTAAGAAGAAAAGTCAATACCGCTTTTTGGGAAGAAACTATATTTTTCTGCTTCTTCCCAAAAGCACTATTTTTTTTTTCCAAAAAAACTTAGCCAAACACTTCAAGTTGAGAAAAAAGTGCTTTTTGAGAAGGAAAAAAAAACACTTTTGGGTGGGAAGAAGCTTGGCCAAATAGGCTATAATTAGGATTAGCGTTGGCTGGACTTATTAGCATGGGCGGAGCTAAAAGTCTGGATGTGGGTTCGGCTAAATTCAATTGTTTTTGCTCAAACAGTATATTTAAAATCGTCTTTTTCAAATTCAAAACCTATACACTTAAAATTCTGGCTCCATCTTTGCTTATTAAATGAGTAACATGTTTCCTCCCAAAAAGTTTTCCATTCCAATGACTTAAAACAACGTCGCTAAAGTGAAGAAATTTCAACCATTCCATCCCTTAATGGTCAATACCAAGCTCCCTAATTTATATGTATTTTTTAATCGAATGGGGGATAAAAATCTGAATTTGAACGCAAAGAAAATGGTGGAATTTTAGAAAAGTGAGATGATTTTGGGAAATTTTGGAGCAATTCCAGTTGCAGAGAATAAAAAGGGAAATTTTACTACGATAGCTTTACCTTTTTTTTTTTTTTTGGTGCACGATAGCTTTACTTTGGGAAAGCTAAGCCTCCTAAAATGGTTTAAAAGGAAATTAAATCAATTTATATAAAACAAAAGAGGATTTAGGAATTAAAAGTAATGGATATACGCCAGGTATATCCACATTGTAAAAAATATTCTTTAATTTTAGTTTCTATATACAATTCCAGTCACTTTATTTGCTCCTAGCTCCACTTATTAACTTTTTTATCGATCTTTAATTCTATGTTACAACTTACAAACTGTATTAAGATTAAGAATTCACATGTAGCATTATGAACAAGTGATTACAACAGGTTGTACCGACAAGGGTTGTGCTGGAGTGGTAAATACTTCTTTATCCTTAACCAAAGGTCTTTGGTTTGAATCCCTAGGTATGGAGCCTTCTTCGTTAGGAGCGCTAAGCGCTTCACCCCCCTATTTGGTACTTTTTGACGCGAATCCGAATTTAGTCCGGCCCCAATATGAATATCGAACATCGAAAGGAAAACAAAAAATAATTACAACAAGTTGTTGTCAAATGATTGTGCATATGATCTTATGGTCCAAGGGGCCATTGACAAAGAATTTTTTTCGTACAAAAGTGAAAAGAAACTTATTTTCTTAAATTATTAGTGCAAACTGGTGATTGCCCCCCGGCATAGCGATATGCCTTGATTCTAGGACTAGGAGAGGTCCACACACAACAAATATGGCTGGAAAATGCAATTTGCTTACATATAGTGACAAAGTATGTTTCTTTACTCAATTGGTCTTTTGCTGCCATATTTACATAAAAGGTTGTTTTAACAACCTTTAACGATTTTGGTGAGATTGATAGAATTATTTCAACCTCCAATAAGAAGTGTTGAATTCGAGCCGTAAAAGTAAAAAAATTATAATAAAGAGTATTTTTTTTTTCTTTAATAAAACTTACTAACGTAAATTTGAGTTGATCGGAGCTAATATGAATATCAAAACCCGAATGAGAAAACAAAAAAGAAGTTGCAAAACATGTTACATGGGGTTTGGGGCAACCCCACAAATCTCTCTATGATTCGTCCCAATAAAATGCACTATAGCTGTCTCATGTCTTTGTGGGCTCCAACTTGAAACAAATTATAATACGTACTTATATTTACTCGATTTTTTATTAAAATCAAATCATTTAATGTTACGAGTCCCATAGTAAAGTTAGAATACACGTTATTTAATTATTTATAGTTAGCTGATAAAGGTTTGTATACACGACACAATATGCATTAATTTGTTGTTTGATATAAACACTAAGTACGACTAACTTTTTCATGTATCCATTATATCCCATAATCCAAATCAAACATTTCTCTTCTCTAATCTATTTCAAGGCATTATTCCTTCGACTTTTCTTGTTTAACATACTTGGGATTTTGGTGTTTATGTAATTTGTATCTTTATTCGTAATATTTTTTTTATTTCTAAAACAATCCGGATTAAAGTTTCAACTGAGTTAATTGGACTTTAACGCCTTAGCAAGACTGCTGGTATTATTAAATGAATTGAAGTAAAAGTTTTGAGCTTCCTGCTTGAGATTTTTCTTTTTTTCGTTTTTGGTTACCAAATTAATGATGGATTACTAATTCTCTCCTCGTGACATGGTGTCGCGTATTATGAAATTCATTAGAATAAGAATATGTCTACATCAAAATTAAATTCCACTAAGTCAAAGCAATTGTTAACAGCTCCGAGACTCGTTTGATCTCTGTCACATTAAATTAGACACAATCAAGTAATGTAATACATAATATAGTACGGTCAATATGTGTAGTCAAATACCCTATAATTCATTAATGTGCACGAGATGCTTTAAAGGTACAAATTTAATAACTTACAACTAGTCTTAAGCTTATTAAGAAACTCATCTCTCATTCAAATAAGTTGAATGACCCAATATTAGTTTTTTAAGTACTATTATCGCTTCGTGTTATATACGAGTATACTGTTGGTATATACTGTATAGGTCAAAATCTGACCATCAAGCCGTGGTCATGTCCACGAGGCGTAATGGTGACGAGTATCTCGGCTGCTGCCGAGATCAGGCCATCAAAAGGCTTACACAGCAGAACGTAACATATGGGCGTGTAAGGAAGGAATACGGCCATGAGAGGGCACGCTGGTTAAGAACCATTGGGTAAAAGAGAAAATGAACAATATATATATATATAAGGAAGGCCGGGCAGAAGAAGGGGGAGGGGAACCAAAAAAGAAAAACAGAGAAGACATAGAAAAGGTCTCTAGGGGCAAGAAGAAGAAGAAGCTCACATTCAAGATTGCAAAATCTATGCAATCCCCTTCGTTGAATCAATAAAGCTAAATCCCATAGTCATCAACAAGAACCATACTTTATCCTCTTTATTTCTCCAAATACGAAATGATATGTTGAAGCTGTAAGATATCATGTACATTTAATGTATTCCATTCA